ATGTCTTCCACTAAAGCTAGCAAGTCAACGCTAGTATCATTGAGAACAGTGCCAGTAGTTCTAAAGAATGGAAAGAACAGAATTGTTGTTAATGCACTATTGGATGATGCCTGCACACAGACTTATATTAATCAAGGTGCTGCCTCAGAATTAGGGTTATGGGGTCCTACAGAGAAAGTTTCAGTTAATGTCCTCAATGGGCAACATGAAACATTGGAAACTATGTCAGTTCAAGTTGGACTAGAGAGTTTGGATGGTTCAGTCAATACTACAATATCTGCCTTAACAACTACTCGGGTTACGGGACAGATGCAGGTTGTTGATTGGCAGAAGTTTGCAGGAAGATGGAAACACCTTGACAGCATTGAGTTTCCAAAAGTTAAATCTCCTCATATAATAGATCTACTTATTGGAATGGATTATCTTGAACTGCATAGATCCTATCAGGATATACCAGGTCAGGAAGGTGAGCCAACAGCACGGTAAACTCCCTTGGGTTGGACCTGTATTGGTAGGATTCCAGGATTAAGTGATTGTCATAATTCGGGCACATTCTTCACTGACAGTAGGGAAGAAATTTTGGGAAGTTGATGAAGTTCCCCTTCGACATCTATCCTTTCCAAGGATGATGAATTTGTGATTGAAAGAGATACAATCAGATACCAGAATGGTCGGTATCAAATTGGCATTCCATGGAAGGAAAATGCAAGTCCTTTACCGGACAATTGGGAAATAGCTTACAAACGTCTCTGTTGCACAGAGAAGAAATTATCAAAAGACAAACAGGTTGCTGATACTTATGATGGTATCATATCTCAGTATCTTGAAAAAAGTTACATTGAAAAGGTGTCCATTGATGAAACAGATGTACCATGTGGATGGTACTTACCTCATTTTCCCGTAGTGCGTCCAGATAGGGCAACTACAAAGGTTCGCATTGTCTTTGATGCATCAGCAAAATGTGAAGGTGTATCATTGAATGACAGTATTCATCAAGGTCCAAAATTACAGGGTGACCTATTCCAGATATTGCTCAGGTTTAGAAGGTACTCGGTAGCCATAGTATGTGACATTGCAGAAATGTATCTTCAGATAGAAATGTTGCCAAAAGACAGGTCATTCTTTCGATTTCTTTGGAGGTCAAACAATCAGAATGACATGACACAGGTTTACCAATTCTCAAGAGTAGTCTTTGGTGTTAATGCCTCTCCGTTTTTGGCACAGTACATATCACAAGAACATGCTAGAAGGTTTCAAGATACTCTACCAAAAGCTGCTGAGACTGTTAAAGTCGACCTATATGGATGACAACATAGACTCGCTTCCAAATGAGGTCGAAGCCATAGAGCTGTATGAGCAGCTTACAGAGTTAAGCTGAAAGGCAGGCATGTGTGCACGAAAGTTGTTAAGCAATTTACCTGAAGTCTTACAGAAAATTCCAATAGAAAATAGGGCTACTGAGGTTGATCTTGATAGGGATGAGTTGCCAACTACAAAAACACTTGGTCTGACGTTGGTGGCAAAAGATGACGAGTTTAGCTTCTGAAGTACTAATGCACACAACAGTTGGATACTTACAAAGAGGGTTTTTCTTAGAGAAATGGCTAGGGTATTTGATCCCTTAGGATTCCTTGCTCCTTTCATCATCAAAGCAAAAATCATCATGCAGGAAGTCTGGCTCAAGGGTTTAGATTGGGATGAAGAGCTTCATAATGATTTGAAACAGAAAGCATTGCTTTGGCTCAATCAAATGAAAGAGTTGGAGACTGTTAGATTCCCGAGATGCTTGCAACTCAACTTCAACATTGAGAACAGGAAATTGCATGTTTTCGTTGATGCATCTGAAAAGGCATATGAGGCAGTAGTATACAACGTGACTACATATCAAAGTGGGATGGTGTCTAGTCGCTTGGTGGCATCAAAATGTCTAGTAGCACCTCTGAAATCAGTCAGCATTCCTCGAATGGAGTTAATGGCAGCAGTATTAGGAGTTAAGTTGATCTTGACTGTAGTCAAAGCTCTTGAAATGAATATTGCTGGTGTGATGCTTTGGTCAGTCAAAATGTGCTGTATTGGATAAAAAACCATAGCCGCAAATTCAAAACATTTGTAGCTAATCGGATAGCCTTTATCCAAGAAAACACTGTTCCTAGTCAATGGAAATACGTTCCTTCTGTTCAGAATCCAGCAGATATCCTGTCTAGGGGTACAACAGTTGCTAATTTGAACAAAGCATGGACTTCTGGACCTGACTTTCTAGAACAAGATGTGACAGAATGGCCTTTACAGATGGTGAACACGCAAACATTAGATGATTCTGAAGCCAAGAAACCTGTTATATCGACAAAGCAGTTCTTTGCAATGGTAACACCTGACTGGTGTTTGAGACTAGATCCGAGAAGACACTCAGATTGGCAAAAACTACTTAGGATTACCGCATGGGTTAATAGATTTGTGAACAACAGTCGTTCTGAATTAAGTTTGAGAATCGCTGGGGGACTAAGTCACGAAGAGCTTAGTGATGCAGAGATGTATCATTTAGGTAGTGCACAAAAGGAGGGATTCACCAAGGAGGTATCGGCTCTTGAATGTAGGAAACAATTGCCATCAAATAGTAAACCCATACTTGATGAAGATGGGTTGATAAGATGTGGAGGTAGACTGCGGTATGCAAATTTTCTCCCATTTGATGCACGGTTCCCGATAGTATTGCCCAGAAGAAATTGGGTAACAAAGCTAATCGTGAAGAAATATCATGAAGATGGAAAACACATCCTTGGTAGAAACCAGATCCTTGCTCTACTGTCTTCACATTACTGGATCGTTTCTGCTCATGAAGAGATCCGTGAATATGAAAAGGAATGCTCTCGGTGTCGCAGACTTAAAGCAAAGCCTGGTGTGCAAATCATGGCTCCACTACCACAAGTTAGACTGAAATACTCATTGAGAGCATTTGATCAAACGGGTGTTGATTTTGCAGGACCTTTCATCACAATACAAGGTAGGGGAAAGCAACGAGTTAAACGCTACCTTTGTCTCTTTACTTACCTGGCAACTAGAGCGGTGCACTTGGAAATGGCATACGGTCTTGATAGCGACTCATTCATGAATGCCTTTTACAGAATGGTCAACCGTCGAGGCTTGCCAAGTGTAGTGGTTTCAGATAACGGGACAAATTTCACAGGAGCCGTTAAAGAGCTGAAGCAACTTATAGACAAACTTGATGAGGATTACATTAAAACCTCCTTGGCCAGTCGTGGAGTTACTTGGAAGTTTAACCCACCATATTCACCATATTTTGGGGGTGCTTTTGAAGCAATGATAAAGTCTTCCAAACGAGCTATATATGCGATCCTTGGCAATGGCGACATCACTAATGAAGAACTTGTGACTGCCTTTACCAGAGCTGAATCACTGATCAATTCAAGGCCTTTAACTTACCAAAGTACACATCCACATGATGACGTTCCACCAACTCCTAATCACTTTCTTCATGGTCATTTGGTCACTTTTGGAAACGGTGGATGTCTGAATGGCTTCCTTCTCTACAAGCAAGGAAGAAATGGTTTATACCAAACCGTGATCTTGAAGTAGATGACGTCGTTCTGGTTGTCTCCCCTCAGTCACCTAGAGGCAGTTGGATCACCAGACGAATCATAAAGACACATCCTGGAAGAGATGGACACGTTCGAGTTGTTGACATACAGACCAGTAAGGGTGTTGTGACAAGACCAGTGACAAAAGTGTGTCCACTGGAATGGAATGTGTCAGAAACTGCAGCTGGAGAAGGATTCAAAGAACAGCAGAAGGATTCGAGGAACGGATAGAAGAATTCGTGAATGGAGGATTCAAAGAACAGCAGAAGGATTCGAGGAACGTGAATGGAGGATTGACAGAAGTGTTCATGGATAGAAGATGTTTTTCAAGGATGAACATTCAAGGAAGTATTTCGAGTGACTGAAACATTAATATTTTTAATTTTGTAAAACAGGATGTGTTCTTTCTTTTTAACAATGAACATTATACTTACCAGTGAATTGACATGCTTTCAAGTGGAATATTTCTTATTTACAGAGCTGTGAACGTTGAAATGACTGCTTTGTTTTTTCAGGACATGTGTGGACTTTTTATGAACAATTAACTCGCATATTATTTCAAATATATATGTACATATACTATGTTGTGATTGATAGCTAATATTTGAAATGATAGACTGGGATCTATCATTTCTAGGGGGAATGTTCTGGAGAACTATGGCCAGGAATATGAAATGTTCGCTGGGAGTAAACTGGGAGCATTCGTGCGAAGGCTGAGTGCTTCGCGGATTTTGTAGCTCATGTAAATCGTGGGGCACGTGAAATTGACCATGTATATAACGAAAGCTTTGTGAAAATAAATGAGTTCGAAAAACACTGCGTAACAGTGACAACAACGCGGTTGTCTTGTGTATATCATGACAACAACATGGTTGTCTGCCGTATATCATGACAACAACGCGGTTGTCTTCTGTATATCATGACAACACGGTTGTCTTGTGTATATCATGACAAAAACACGGTTGTCTTCTGTATATCATGACAACAACACGGTTGTCTTGTGTATATTGTGACAACAACACGGTTGTCTTGTGTATATCATGACAACAACATGGTTGTCTTCCGTATATTGTGACAACACACTTGTCTTGTGTATTGTGACAACAACATGGTTGTCCTGAGTAATTATTGACGACAAGGTTGTTCTGTCTATTTCGTGACCGCAACACGTTTTTTCTGTTTACATTAAGATAACCTCACTCGTGTATGTCATTACAGGCACTGTGTTGTCAAATGTATATTATGACATCCACACTGTTGTCCTGTTTATATTGTGAATTCACACTGTTGCCCTGTCTATATTAACACGCATACTGTTTATACTGTGTACATAATGACAGTCATGTGTAGTTATGAAATGCACATTGTATGTTGTGACGTACTAGTCATCAGTATTGATAGCGGGCGACATTCGCGATACCAGGTGTTACTGTCTTGTGACATAGATTATACATGCGTTCTTCAACTGAGAAGCGCATGTTTCACTCATGCTCGAAGTAGCTGTACAGCATGTGTGTCTACAGAAGTAACTGGTCCTTATGTGTGTAGCCTGTAGTCCCATAGCCTTTACAAATTCAAGGTCAGTAGTGCACAGCTATAATATGGAAGGTAAGGCGTTGTGCTTAGGGCTTACATATGTGATATTGATGATGTCGTGTAGGTATGATGCTGTCGTACTAAAGTCTAATGGTGTATTACTGCATCTATTGTTGCCGGGCATATATATCATCGCTGGCAACAATATATGCCAACTTTCACGGCCCATATTGTCGCCAATCGTCACATATTCTCGACGGCGACGATATATGCCGGGGGTGCAGTGATTTGAAAGGCCATATATATGATAGAATGTAAGACGACTCGGGATTTTGTTAGTGCGGACACCATTATGAAGATGCTTTACGTTATCTTTCATTAGCCCTCAGTTTACGATAATTAGATGTAAACGTTACTTCTATAAGAATGGATATGATCTTAAAACTGTTTTATATGTAAATGCAAATTTAACTGATTGACAGAAGATATTTATCAACGACCAGAAACCAGAAATGTTTTATCTAATGAAATGGGTGGTGTAGGAATATACCTCTGGTTCATTAATTATTAACTTGTGATACGCAAGTGATACAATAGTTATACATCTATAGATTGCTGTATAATTATTTATGGGTAGGTTTCTCGGCTGGATAAAGCCAACGGATAAAAACGATATCCTTTGGGGTCATATGCGGATAGAGATGCAAATATGAAAGGTCAAGTATGGACTACTTTCAGTGTTTATAAACAAACATGGCGTCGGCGATCGAGTTAGAATTACCCGTTGGTGAATCAGGATAAACTATAAGGATAACTGCCATCATTATCAAAAGAATAGTCTCATGTAGTGAAAATCAGTGTCTAACTGTGACGTAACTAAGGTTTGGGCAACTTTGGAGATATAAATTGCGAGACTATTTTGCGAGGGCACTAGCCAAGCGGAATCAGTTTCCATATATCTGTGCTTGAACACCTCTGCGCCTAGAAACCTTTTCCACAAATGAAAACAGTTGGATTTGGCCGAAATATGTTCGAATTGCTACCTTGTTTCGTTTTGTCGCTGTGTGTACACCTGGCGACTGACTGTGGTCGTGGCGTCTCATAGACTAGGGTCAGAGTAGTAAAAACAATTTGTGTAGGCAATTGTTGTTTTGCATATACATGTATGTAGTGACGCCACTGTATAAGAAACAGGTTTCATTTGGAACTATATTGGCTACCGTCACTGTCCAACCGACACATCACTTACCCTCTGACGTAATATATATTAATGCGCACATTCCTGGAAAACTTGCAATGTTTAGGTAATATTTGTGAGAGATGGAAGGATATTTTCTAGCACAGAATTGAAGAATGACACTATATGATAAAGAGGTTATCACGCTTGTGTGTTTGGGATGGTAAGTATCCTGTATTAGGAATAAACGCTATGTATTTAGCTCGCCAAGGCTTGTTTAATACAATCTCCAAACACACTCGCGTGATAACCTCTATTTATCTGTAAAACTTTTGAATGTCCATGTACATGTATATATTTATCTATATGACGCTTTTTTAAATATCACTTCTATTTTTTTAAGCATGTCTATTCTGTACAATGTATGGCGTAATTTATATAGAGGAGATATATTTATGTAGGGCAAACTTTGTTTATAAATCCCCATCCACTATACACATGATTGTAGAAATATATACTGTTAAACTTACATCATTTCTAAATACAAATACAGTACCTCTACAACATTCGACTCTATAATATTTTCTGTTAATTATTTCAAATTTCGAGTCTTTTCTCGTTACTTCGATTATTTTCTCGTTATTTCAATTATTTTCTTGAAATAGCTAGTTTTTTCTCGTTGCTTCGAACATTTTCTCCTTCGTTTAAGCATGGACTTGCATATATACGGTTATATAAGTCCGTGGTTCAAGAAAAACGCAAACATTTAAAATTTCAATATTTTTCTCGTTGCTTGAATTATTTTCTCCTTATTTCGATTATTTTCTCGTTATGTCGATTATTTACTCGTTATATCAACTTTATTTCAACTTGCTTAAATTATTTTCTCCTCATTTCGTTAATTTTCTCCTTATTTCGATTATTTTCTTCTTATTTCGATTATTTTTTCGTTGCTTCGAGTTCTATCTCGCTATAAGGGTGTTGTATTGTGTTGTTGAATAATTGTTGGTGAGCAGGTAAGGGTAGGGGTATTGTTGAGTATTTGTTGTTGAGGAGAAAAGGGTGTGGATATTGTTGACTAGACACTGTTGTTTGGTAAGTTGTGTGAGTGAGTTTGGGTTAACGCCGATTTCAACAGTATTTTGGTTATTTCATGGCGTGATGAAGACATTGACGCTTACCACGGTGGTGAAACACACGAGCACGGGCATAATGTTGACAAACCTAAAACAATAATCAGGCGAATCATAACCACAAGCAAAGGTCTCTGGTACGCCCTAGGGAAGAAACTCAACACAGCGAATTCCGGCTCCTTATATGACTGGATCCACCCGTGCCCACTTGTTTGGGAAATGTGTGCTGTTGCCGAGTAGTTGTTGTTGAAGTGGAAGGTGTTGATGTTAATGAATAGATGGTCTTGTAGTGGAAAGAGTGTGGATGTTCACGAGAGGACACTGTTGTTGACGAAAGGGGAAAGAGTGTGGATTCTGTTGAGTTGGAGTTTTTAAGAGAAGGATGTGTGAATTGCAATCATGGGGATGTTGTTTTGTTGATGTGGAGGAAAGGACGTGGATGTGTTTGATTTTACAACGTTTTAGGGGGAGAAGGTGTTGATGTTGCTGAGTAGACGCTGTTGTGGAAGGAGGGCTGATGACTAGGGCTTGACGCTGTTGTGAAGGGATATTTTGATAAAGTTCGTACATCTTTATGATCAAAATATCTGTGAAAAGTAATATTTAGAACACTATTACAGTCATATATATGCATTGGTCAGCACTGAAGACACATACATGTATAGGAAGACACGTAATAGGCATACACGTAGGCATCAAAATTTTCATCAGCATCCATTCAAGTCTCTTTAAGAATGTTCGCTGGTTTGTTAACTTTTTCTGCTGAGTCAGGTATTTTAAAATGTTTGTTGATTGATCTAACTGTCAAAAAACCGAAAGAATGAGGTTAATGTGGATTTCTGCACTTGTTTGCTACACTGCCAAATTCACACTTGAGTGAGTGAGTTAAATGTTTAAGTTACGATGGATATTTTATTATAGAGCAAAAGGTGAAATCACTCAGCGTTTTTAGCAGTTTTGCATAAAAGTAAAATTAATATAACACAACTTTTTAAAATATTTAAACATCTGGATAAAACGTTAAAATATAAGAAAACATAATTTAGTCTCCATTTTAGTGTGCACATTTTGAGCAAATTGATGACGTCATACAGTGCAATGGCCTCAGGCAAGAGGGTTACAATGCAGTGACGTCCTTATTCAAGGACTACGACGCTACTTTTGCCGTAAGCAATACACGACAAGTCATAAAACGGGACTCAAATTAGTTTTCACTTATTACGCCTTATATTTGACGATTTGATTTTCAGTGTCGTGATTTTCTGCTTCATACCTTTATATTGGCGTTAGACTGGCTTAAAATATGTCGTTAAGAGGTGACTTCCGATACGCTCCAGTCGCGCAGTAAACACACAATCATACCAGCAAATGTCCTTAATGTTTAGGGATTAGATAGTTGTGTGGTACAGAAGGGTAATTAATGACATGCCGTCTTACTTTCACTCACATAATGTTTACATATACCCAGCAATAAAAGAAACGCAAGTTGTACATAAAATGCGGATAACGTTAAGACTATTTGTGGATAATATTAAGAAATGATAAGATTTGATAACAAATGGGCGTTGATTGTTTGATGACAACCGTCGGTGTTTATTGAACAATCCCCCCAAAAACAAAGTACCCCCCAAACAGAAAAACGAAAGTACAGTTGTGTCCACCAGTAGCGTGTGTGGAATCCGTCAGCTGCGATATAGGCCGCACATCGCCGTCTTGTTGAGTCGACAAGTCTTTAGAAGAAAGCTTAAGGAATCCTGTTCCATTCCCGCACCAAAAAGGCTTCCAGTTCCTGAAGTGTATGTGGCTGCCATGCAGTCTGACAATGTCTCCCAATCTCGTCCAAGACATGCCATTGGCGCCATGTCCGGTGAAAAAGACGATCCAGAGCATCACAAGACTATTATTCACTCTGAGGAAGTCCATAGAGACCCGTGCTGCATGGGGACGATCGTTGTCCTGCTGAAAGACCTGGAGTTGATGTTGACCCAGGAAGAGGGGTCTGACGTGTTTACGAAGGACACCATCCCTGTACACGGCAGGAGTCACACGCTGACGGAACACGTGTAGAGGGGTCCCGCGATGATGACTGAAGTCTCCCCAGACCATGATGCTTCCTCCTTCCCACCGGTCGGCCTGAAAGACACAGCAGTTACCGTAACGCTCATTACGTCGTCTCCACACTCTGATGCGGCCATCGGCGAGAGAAAGGTTGAACCTTGATTCGTCTGTGAAGACAACTTGTTGCCAGTGTCGATGTCGTCAACCCATGTGCTGTTGGGCCCACTGCAGACGTTGTTGGTGGTGACATGGATCGAGTCAATATGGGTCCAACGTAAGGACGTCGACATGTGATTCTTGCCGCTCGACGATGAACTGTGTCGGCTGACACGGGATGACGTGGGCCTTGAATGGTTGCAGCTGTCCGTGTTGCTCGTTGCTGTCGGTCACGCAGATGTGTCATCCGGATGTAACGGTCCTGCGCTGGAATAGTGACCCTCTGCCGTCCAGAACGAGACCAGTCTTGGACACTGCCTGTCTGCTGATGCCTTGCGACCAATCTGGTGAAGGTAGACACATGACATCCAAAGTGGCTCGACACTGCAGTTGACTTTGATCCGCCCTGTAGCATCTCTATGGCAACGCCTTCCCAGAGTTCAGTTAATCGAAATAGATGAACAAGAAGGAAATCCACGCATTTTTGCATGTGATTTGCGCTGCACGTGCAAGAAAACGTCAAGGAGACGAAACGACTGCGTTCCTGCGACGTACTCAAAATGGATGATGTAAATAGGGAACAGTGTTTCTTCAATGCGTCTCTTTACGTGAACTTTGTATACATTTCATTTCACAAATTACTATTTTATTCATTTCACAAACAAACAACTTGACTTGCCTTTCTTTTTGCGTTTGAGTATACATTCATTAGTAATGTCGAAAGTCGTTTGATTATTGCAGGAGCATTTAAGACGGTATTGTAGCTGGCCATGTGTATATTGTGACATACCATCAGCAATGGTACCGGTCGAGTGAGAGTAAAGTGTGAATACGCTATTAGTTGTTGTTGTTATGTAGCAGTATAGATTGTTGTACATGTATTTTACTAATTGAAGCGCTGGCGATATGTCGAGTGCTGATGCGACCAGACTGTAACAGGAAGTGTAATTATAGTTCCTGCAAGGTTGTTGACAAATATGGCAAGTCTGATCGTTCAAGGAGTTTCTAGAAGGTTGACTGTACCTATACCTGAAAACCCCGAATTCTTGCAAACTTCAACGCCATTCCAGATTTAAAGAACATGCCGGTTTCAGGACATTCGACACATACATGACCCATTGCTTTATTTGTAAACCTAAACCTGTGTGTTTCAATATGATAAGTGATTACTCATTTCATTGATCTTGTGTTGTTATTTACTGGTTTTTCAATTTTGTTTTGTACGTAACGATTTCTGGGTGAGCCTGTGCGTTTCAGTTTGTAAATCACCTGGTAAAATTATACTATAGCATAGCTAAACATTGAAATCCACAAGAGCAAATACTCAACAGTGAAAGAAAAGTTTAGTTCATTCACAAATGGTTGGATGTATTTTGTAATACTATTCATTTCTGTTCACTTCAGTGACCCCTAACTTTGGTTGTCAACGTTGTTGAAGACTTTGTGTACTCATATGCTATAGACCATGGCATCGTCGCCCGAACTCTCTACTCTAAATTGCTCTGCATTTGACAGTAACACAACGCTGAACTTTACTCTACCCCCGCTGGATTACTCTCTTGCGGACACATACAAAGTTGTGGCAGGATCCCTTGTGTTCCTGTTCATCCTGCCCTTTGTCCTTTTCGAGTTCAGCTTCTTCCCAATTGGCGCCTCCTCCGCCATACTGCTGGGTGCCGTCCTCATGGTGGCAACAACTGTACTGAACCAGAGAGACTTTTATGACATTATTGGAGAAGACGGAAACTTGCGGACAATATTCCTTCTCCTTGGTATGATGATTATATCCCAGTACTTTGAACGAGAACATATCATTCACAAAATGATGAACAAAATGTTGAAGAACGATATATCCTTCCCCGGCTATTTATGGAGAGTTAATATGTTGTCCTTCATAGTGGCTGCATTGTTCACCAACGACGCTGCATGTATCATACTGACACCACTGGTTCTAAGGCACTGGTGCTCACAGGATAGACCAACTGTTGAGCTGGAGACCCTTACACTAGCAATATCAACATCAGCAAACATTGGAAGTGTCATTACCATATTCGGTAATCCTCAAATGGCATTGATAGCGTCAACAACCGAGGAACCTGTATTCCTTAAAAGTCAGCTTGATCTCCAGCGCAGCATTACTTACCTCGGTATTCCGGCAGTCATAGGCTACTTCCTCAACTTGGCCTTCCTAGTTGCTCACTTCCAGTTGAATGCTTCCTATAGGCTCTGTAACAAACCAGTCGCTTTAGCAGTTGAGGTAGATGCCGCGTCGTCATCAGAGGCAGATGTCAAGGGAAAGAGCAGGGTCTTTCTTTGGCTGCCTCTCCTTGTACTGATCGTCATGTTGGTGCTTTTTTTTGTTAAGACAGACGACTTCCGGTTTGATATAGGTTTGTATTATTACCTTTATATCTAAGGTACACGTGAAAGAAGTAAGACTTAGGAAAATATCAGTATTTATCATTGGGTCATAAGTCTGTTGAATGAGCAATAACTAATGAAAACATCTTCGCGTTATATTTCACAGATTGCCCATTGTCTCATCTGAACAGTGGTATGTTTAAGGTCTTGTAATTGTTTTCTTTTTGCGTTCAGGTATTCTTCCAATGGCGGCTTCTGCTTTAATAATGACAGCAGACGCCGTATTGAACAAGACCAACCCAAGCCGCCTGATAATGAAAGTAGACTGGAACGTCATCCTCATGTTCTTCGGTATTTTCGTGTGGCTGGGTGGGGTAAACGCCACGCGAGTGCCACGTTATGTGTGGGAGGCTATTGGTTTAGCTGGTCATCCTATCAATGATGCTAAGACAATTGCAACATTTTCGGCGTTTGTTATCTTTGGGTCTAACATTTTCAGCAACGTGCCCTTGACGATCATCGTTTTAGAGCAGTTGCAACCGTGTGCCGATCAGCTGGAGCTTGTGCTATACCTTGCGTGGTGCTCTACCATCGCCGGCAACCTCACACTCTTCGGCAGTGTGGCAAACATTATCGTGGCGCAGAAATCCAAGCAAACCCTGAATATTCCCCTCACGTTCTGGACATTCTTCAAATACGGCTTTTTGACGACACTTATTATTACTGTACAGGGCATATTTATCATCTATGGACTCTTGCGGCTATGATGGCTCACGTCAGGATTGTATGTTCATAGAACGCGCTCGTATCACAACAAGGAACTAGCAGACATGTTATTATCACAAGAAAATCCAAGTCATGATCGTGGATGATTGTCACCTGTGTTAGTAGTAGTTAGCCTAGTGTTTGCCTCACTTTCCTACATTCATTTTGTAAACATGTAATTTCAGTCCTGAATGATTCCATTTGTTTTGTTTTATTTAAACATATTTTATTCAGATTGTAATAGATTGGGAACAAGTTAACCAACTTAGGACTCCCTCTCCATGGTATTTACAAAGCTTGTACAGTAAATCTATACAAGGAAAACAGAAAAGAAGATGAGTGTAAAGATAACAAGAAATGTACAAAAGAGAGACTAGTATATGTACATTAAAGTGTTACCCAAATCTCTTTGTATGACTTATAAACATTTGCACTGCTTTAAAGATGTGTTGATTTTCGATAATGGACAAACATTCATTTCCGTTTAACATCAAACTTAAATCTAATTTAACATTTTTGTTCACGGCGTTCTGTAAAATGTCCCGAATTATTATTAACATAGTTTTTCTTTGGTGGACATACAATGGACACTTTAATAAATAATGATATGCGTTTTCACATGGATTACCACATTGACATATTGGATCACATTTTATCTCTATTCTGTATAAATCATAATTTAACTGGCTTTTCATGTATCTTAATCGAGTATGATAAATATTCAACTTTCTAACACCACAGGAAAAATATGGAGGTGCAATGACTAGCTCTTTTTGTATGTATGTCTTGAATTGGGATGTAGATGTACAATTTCTACCTGCTGCAGGAATAGTGTTCCATAACCTTACAGTTGATGGAATAAAAGAACACGTTGAGTGTTTTAATCTAGTATATGGAATCTCAATATTGTCTGCATTTCTTAAATTATATGATATAGTTGAACCTACAGTGGTTGGTACAATGTCTTTAAGATAAGTTGGGGCAATATTACTTTGTATTTTGTAGAACAAACATAGCTTACATTTCCTCCTTCGTTCTATTTACGTTTCCCATCCTGTTTCATAAAACAGATGTGTGTGCGAAGTATACTTGGGAGCCCAGTAACTACTCTGGCAGCTTCTAGTTGGAGATTTTCTAACTGAGTTGATAATTCTATATTACACCCATCCCACACTTCACACGCATATTCGAAATGGGGTCTTATGAAGATTGTATATACTTTATTTAATGTATTACTGTTCAATTTGAATTTGAATTTTCTCATTGAATTTATCATTTTTGATGTTGATTTAATTATGTTGTCTACGTGACAGGACCATTTTCCGTTAGATGCAAACGTTATACCCAAATGTTTATGATTTTGAACATTCTTAACTTTACATTCATCAAAGTACAAGGTAATAAGGTCTGATTCATCTTTTAAGGAAAATATAACCGCTTCTGTTTTATCTGGGTTGTATTTATTTAACCAGCGTTTTGCCCAGTTACACAGCTTGCTCAGATTTAAATTTAGAGTTGATTCAACAAGTTGATTCTCTGGTGAAGAAAAGCCGAGTGCTGTATCATCAGCAAAGAGTCTTGTTATGCAATCTAATTCATCAGCAATGTCGTTAACAAATACAATGAATAAAAAGGGACCCAACACCGACCCCTGTGGAACGCCTGCCTTCAAAATCCTTGGCTTGGATAGAGCCCCGCTTACAAACACTGATTGAGCACGATTGCTTATGTAACTAGACAGCCATTCAAGTAAGTTCCCTTTTATACCATACATTTCTAATTTGTACATAAGCCCTCTATGCCAGACACGATCAAATGCTTTTGACACATCGCAAAAAAACATGCAATATTTTTCTCTATTATCTAAAGATATACAAATTTGATTATACAATTCAATTAATTGATGGACAGTGGAATGGCCTTTTTGAAAGCCCGACTGGTATTTATATAACAATTTATTGTCATGAAAGTAGTTATAAAGATGCTTAAATACAACTCTCTCAAACACTTTACCAATACAACTAATGAGTGATATTGGTCTGTAATTTGTCACAACTGAATGATCTCCTTTCTTATACAATGGCATAACATGCGCTCTTTTCGATTCTGTTGGATATGCATTTAAAGCCAATGAATGATTGAACAACATACATAAAACAATACTTATGCTGTTTACTGTTTTCTTTAATAGGTTGTTACTTATTCTGTCTGGACCAGATGCCTTGTTAATTTGAAGACATTTTATAACGTCAGATATTTCATTTTCTGAGACAGTTAATTTGGGGGGGGAATGCTCGTAGATGTTCCAGAGTTTTTGACGACATATTTTGGTAATTTCCAATATGATTGTTTATTTACTATATATAGTTCCGAAAGAAATTCATCGATGTTTGAATAGAACTTTTCTTTCGCATAACTTTTCATGTTGTTGACTTTATTGCGTTGTTTTTTGGATGCTATAATATCTGTCTCCTTATTACTCCATTTTGATTTCTTTCGTAACCTATTACGTATCCTACACTCCTTTCTTAAATGTGAATCAAACCATGGTTTGTCATTTGGTCGAATAGTGACAATTTTAGATGGAATACATTGTGTTACAAAATCATTCAATCTTTCATACAACACTTCACACATATCATCAACATTTGTACATTCATTAAATAATACAGACCAATTGGTAATGTTTATGAGATCATTCAATTTAACAAAATCTCCTTTGTTATAACATAAAACCTTGCGTTTATAAGCTATCTTGGTGCATATGTGTGTGTCCATTTCCATATAGCTATAGGTACCTCTGTGATCAGATATTGTACTATCGAAGTCGATCACACCACTGACCTTTACATCAACATCTTCACTAACAATGATTGGATCTAAAAGTGTGCTAGATTTAGAAGTGACTCTGGTGGGCTCATCAATTACATTCCTTAAATTTTTTCTGTGTAAAATTTCGTTTATGTATTTTTTTCTGTTAGATAATAAATTTTCATTTAAATCACCGACAATCACCATTTTACTAGATATATCCAATGCAACTTCGATGGAATTATCTAACCGACTCCAAAACTGTATAGAACTGTGTTCTGGTCTGTAAACAGCACAGAGTAATAAAGGCCCTTGAGGAAGAAATATTTTTATCCATATACTTTCATCAGTCATATTTTCTAGTTCGTGCATTCTCTTGTATGTTAAACACTTAGTGATGTATATCATAACCTCTCCCCCAAAAGCATTTCTATCTTTGCGTATTGGATCATGACATGATTGCCACTGTAAAGTTTCATTACCTACAGATTCATCCAGATGTGTTTCAGTGAATCAAACTACATCATATTCAGACAAATATTCTGCAAGATACCTTTGCTTATTACGGACGCTCCTGGTATTTAAATGGAAGATCGACAATAAGTGGTCAAGATTAGTTACATCACCGGTCAGCGGGCCAGGATTAAGTTCAACGTCCCCTGCAAGCTGTATTAACAATAGGAGTACGAGAATTACATTTACATTGCCGAGATAAGCCTGCAGAACGCAAAGGCACAGTCGAGTGTTACAAGCTTTCACTTCTAGTGATAAAATATAAAGCATTATGTCCAGCTCGTTCAAAAGAAACTTTGTGATGGAAGATTTGCAGATAAACAATTGACACAGCCTGTTAGGAGACTTTACAACACAGTTGAACGGTGTACTCCCGGTTTCCCAACATTGGAAAACTTAGAACAACACAGGGATTAATGGATTAACACCTGCGGGTATGTCCCACTGTCTTTTAAGGGGTGACCAACGCTCTATGGACACACTATGAATAGGGGTATGAACAAACATGCAGTCGTGGATTTTTTTATTTATATCGTATTTGATTTCACATGATTTCAATATCACAGCACAATAACATGATTGAATTTCACAATTAATATTCTAATATCACAACATACCAGCTCTACACCCTGCGCTACAACACTCCCAATAGACCCGACCATCTCTTCTTGACTTCACCCTAAACTTATGACCACCAAACCTAAGTAATCACCACCATGCTTGTTCTTTATGTAACTAATATCAACTTGTGCGTTTGCCATGATTGCAATGAACATCCATGAATATATACTGCATTAGTAAATTAGTGAACACGGTCACTCATATTATAAGATAACTTAACTCACCCACCAGCACCCCTACCAATAGTGTACCCAAACTAATCCCTCTATTGCTCTACGCCTGGCTGGGTTTGTTGTTTTAAGAAATGTTGGGAAACCGGGGGCACCCCAGTTGAACACCCCGATCGCAACGCGATACTGAGATATATCATTACCCATATGTCAGTTTTAGTCTGGGAACAATCATACTTTTCTTCTGGGTGAACGATCGGGGAATGTCAGGACGCTGTGACAATATGCTGAGTGAGGAATCAGTGTGTACATAGCATGGCAATAAAAGAATGGATTGTATATTTATTGGAGTTTCATTTTCTGGGAATATAAGGGGAGACTGAGATTCAGGGATATGGATAAAACAGGAAAGTACAGAAAAAGTATGTACAACATGACAAACATTTGTTTGGTTATGTTTGTCCAGTTGATCACAAAGCAGGCGATTCTAAATGATATTGTATTAATATTTACATTCATCTAGACCTAAAACATTAAATTGTAAATGAAAACACATTCGCGGGTTTTGTGTGTTGTTTGTGAATCAAAATTTACCAAGTATTTAGGGAATTTGTTTTACCTGACCTGAAGAGGTCATATAATACAAATGCGTGTCTATGATTTTAAAAGGGAGTGTGAGTGGATAGTCTGTTTGACAAATCTAACAAATGGTAGTCATAATCTCACAACCACTATGCACTGTATAAACATTTGCTCTGTTCTTTCAATCTCAACCCTTGACTAGTATTTGATTAGATTGTATTGACGAATGTTGCCTCATCGACCAATGTTGTTTTTACAATATAAGCAGGATCGTATACTGGGATTTTGAGCAGGGAATTCTCATAATGACTTACACTGTTGAAAAACAGCTTTGTAAAGATAAAATACTCGGATATCATGAGAACTATAGAGATGATGGTATATAAGACGACACAGAACTTTGTACGCGTATTGCGTCGATTTGAAAAATGGATTCTGGTAAGATGAAGTTTGATTTCGATCAGATCCGTTCCTACCTCTCCACCCAGACATACCCAGACCGGTGTACAGGTATCAGAGGACTGAAGGCAAACTTCAGAAGGAAGGCTTCTAACTTCAAGATTCTAAATTCGGAGCTGCTTTACAAGCAAAAGAAGGTAAGTTTTCTGAAGGTTTTGCGTTAGTTGTTGAGATAGTTGCAGTGATACGGAGTTACCTCCCCATATCTTACATTCGACATCTGGCGTGAGGTCGATAACTTCGATAATAATAATTGTAATAATGGGTTACTATAAAACCGAGGATGTATGTATTGTTTACAAGCAGAAAAATTAAACTCATTTTCAACATAATCATAACCACGGACGTACATACGTCTTTGTCATAACCAACTGCACAGTCGACATTTTTTATCAATACCTGCTCTCCTTCCTGATTCTATCAATTGATGACAACTGCATCTAAATCGGACTAATGCCTGTTTATATATTTTCAAATCAATTGTAGTTAAGTAAGCCCCGGTATTCAAAAGAGACGTGTATGTAGAGTAAGATGATAACTTCGGGTTACTGGTAACAGATGTTTCCCACAGATGTTGCATATCGACATCCATTATGCGTTGTTTGAATTCCGATAAGAATACGCCTTTATCTCCAACATCTTGCATTACCCATGTGTAACCGAATTCATATTCAAATAAAATATCCTTTACGTGATTGGTCCTAGATACACAAAAAAAGTCCAGATAAAATATATAAGTTTGCTTAGGAAGTCTTGTCATAATTCATTAAAAAGCTTTGTCCAATATGAAATACATTTTGTGACATAAGTGATGTAACCTCTTTCATAAACCTAGCTATTCAAGGCCCAATAGTGAGGCCGTTAGATATTCTGCATAACCATTGGTCGCATGAGTTCATGTCTAGTCCATTACTAGTTGTTTGATACCAATTAACTTCATTTACTTTATACTATATTAAACAACATTTTTGTGTGAAGATATACTCAAACCTCTTTAAATAGATACATCTGTTGTTTAAATCAGCGTTCTCCTCCGTCTCCCCATTCTCTCCTTATCTTGTCCGCACAGTCACACATAAAGTTCGGATTTTGTTGAAAAATTTAGCATAAATGTATGAGAATGTACATGGACATGTACATGTACACAACCAAATGAAAACTATGTCCGGACCATAACATATTTTGAATTCCTAAATCCTTACTTTGATGTAATCTTGAACTTAGACACTTTTTAACTTATAGGTGTTAATAAAACAAATATTAAAAAACCACAACAAAAACCAACAACATTGTCTCATATTTTGACAAAATATGTTAATTATTAAAGCAAACTGATGTCTGTAACAAAAACTAAAACATTCTTCTGGAGCATCTGTATGAACATGTTCCTCAGCAGTATTCAATCTAAGGACAAGTATAGATGTACAAGAACATGTGTCATGCAAACCTGAAAAGACATGGAAGAGTATGCCTTTGTGCAATCTCTAAGTATTGCTTTTGGTTTCAGATTTTGGTTGAAGGAAGTTGTGAGGTTACATGTATCCACATGTGACAGATACCAGAGGATCCGGTACGAAATTTCAGAAATCATCACCTGAACTCAATTCAATCCCTGTTCAAGCGAATCCTTGTAAAAAAAGTCGGCGTAGATCTCTGCTCTCTGCCAACTACTGATGAAGGATTCTGTTGCATTGTTGTCTTAGTTGACTACTTTACCAAGTGGATAGAAGCTAAGCTCCTGAAAGACAAAACTGCAAAGTATTGCAACCTTCATGTATGAAACTTATCTGCCGCCATGGAATACCAAGTATCCAGATCAACGATCAAGGTCGTGAATTTGTGAACCAAGTTTCACATGAGCTGCACAGACTGAGTGGAACAGTGCAACGAATTGGATGTATAACAGGGGGAGTAGTTTGAACCTGATATCAAAGAATTGGATATAGAACAGGGGAAGTAGTTTGAACCTGATATCAAAGAATTGGATATAGAACAGGTGCCAGAGGTGTTTTTTCAACGGTATCGTGTAAAGATCAGATACATAACTGTGTCGGAGAGACAAAGTAAGGACAAATCCGGACTCACTCTTTCTCAGTTAATGTTCCTAATGCTGGAGCTGTGTGCATCGGTTACTGTTCCTAATGCAGCAGCTCTGTGCATCAGTTACTGTTCCTAATACAGCAGCTGTGTGGATCAGTTAATGTTCCTAATGCAACAGCTGTGTGGATCAGTTAATGTTGTTTATGCAGCAGCTGTGTGGATCAGTTAATGTTCCTAATGCAGGAGCTGTGTGGATCAGTTACTGTTCCTAATGCTAGAGCTGTGTGGATCAGTTAATTTTCCTAATGCAACAGCTGTGTGGATTGGTTACTGTTCCTAATGCAGCAGCTGTGTCCATCAGTTAATGTTTCTAATGCAGCAGCTGTGTCCATTGGTTACTGTTCCTAATGCTAGAGCTGTGTGGATTGGTTAATGTTCCTAATGCAGCAGCTGTGTCCATCGGTTACTGTTTCTAATGCTAGAGCTGTGTTGATTGGTTAATGTTCCTAATGCAGCAGCTGTGTCCATCGGTTATTGTTTCTAATGCTAGAGCTGTGTGGATCAGTAACAGTTCCTAATGCTAGAGCTGTTTCGGTCGGTTAATGTTCCTAATGTAGGAGCTGTGTGGATCGATTAATGTTCCTAATGCAGCAGCTGTGTGGACCGGTTACTGTTCCTAATGCTAGAGCTGTGTGGATCAGTCACAGTTCCTAATGCTAGAGCTGTTTCGGTCGGTTAATGTTCCTAATGAAGGAGCTGTGTGGATCGATTAATGTTCCTAATGCAGCAGCTGTGTGGACCGGTTACTGTTCCTAATGCTGGAGCTGTGTGGATCAGTCACTGTTCCTAATGCAGCAGCTGTGTGGACCGGTTACTGTTCCTAATGCAGCAGCTGTGTGGACCGGTTACTGTTCCTAATGCTAGAGCTGTGTGGATCAGTTAATTTTGCTGATGCAGCAGCTGTGTTGATCAGTTAATGTGTATCTTATGCAGCAGCTCTGTGGATCAGTTAATGTTCCTAATGCAGCAGCTGTGTGGATCAGTTAATGTTCCTAATGCAGCAGATGTGTGGATCAGTTACTGTTCCTAATGTAGTAGCTGTGTGGATCAGTTAATGTTCCTAATGTTGGAGCTGTGTGGATTGGTTAATGTTCCTAATGCAGGAGCTGTGTGGATCAGTTAATTTTCCTAATGCAACAGCTGTGTGGACCGGTTACTGTTCCTAATGCAGCAGCTGTGTCCATCGGTTAATGTCTCTAATGCAGCAGCTGTGTCCATTGGTTACTGTTCCTAATGCTAGAGCTGTGTGGATTGGTTAATGTTCCTAATGCAGCAGCTGTGTCCATCGGTTACTGTTCCTAATGCTAGAGCTGTGTTGATTGGTTAATGTTCCTAATGCAGCAGCTGTGTCCATCGGTTATTGTTTCTAATGCTAGAGCTGTGTGGATCAGTCACAGTTCCTAATGCTAGAGCTGTTTCGGTCGTTTAATGTTCCTAATGTAGGAGCTGTGTGGATCGATTAATGTTCCTAATGCAGCAGCTGTGTGGACCGGTTACTGTTCCTAATGCTGGAGCTGTGTGGATCTGTTAATTTTGCTGATGCAGCAGCTGTGTTGATCAGTTAATGTGTATCTTATGCAGCAGCTCTGTGGATCAGTTAATGTTCCTAATGTTGGAGCTGTGTGGATCAGTTAATGTTCCTAATGCAGCAGCTGTGTGGATCAGTTAATGTTCCTAATGCAGCAGATGTGTGGATCAGTTACTGTTCCTAATGTAGTAGCTGTGTGGATCAGTTAATGTTCCTAATGTTGGAGCTGTGTGGATCAGTTAATGTTCCTAATGCAGCAGCTGTGTGGATTGGTTAATGTTCCTAATGCAGGAGCTGTGTGGATCAGTTAATGTTCCTAATGCAGGAGCTGTGCAGATCAGTTAATGTTCCTAATGCAGGAGCTGTGTGGATTGGTTAATGTTCCTAATGCAGGAGCTGTGCGGATCAGTGAATGTTCCTAATGTGGGAGCTGTGTGGATCAGTTAATGTTCCGAAACACTTGAAACAGATTTGGACACAGCCATTGAGACTGCAGGTTGAGCAAGAAAACAGTAAGACCACACTCATCCAGCTTCGATCTATAGTTTGATAAAGATAAGAAAAAGTATGGAAACATAGACCATGCCCTCGAGGAGAAGAGACCAGAAACCACTGAATGATTATTGCAATGCTGTTTCACTGTGAATTATGGAAATGCTAAATGTGAAATTGGACAAATAAGACAATATTTTGTAGTCCAGTCTTTTTATCAATGGTTTATTTTTTCACTAAAAAGTGAACGGAAGATGAATGTATGTCCTGTGATGTTTTTAATGTTGTACAAGTAACAACTTGTATTGCCATAAAACTGATATGTGACGGAGAAAAGCTGTCTCTTGTGTGATTTTGTGTTGTAAATCGTTACAAGCATCCATCAGTCCCCTTGAGATGACCCCAATGTCAATGCACCTGATGTAAGCAGTGTGCAACAGTTACATGTCTTGGTATATGTATCACAAATGCAGCAAACACACAATCAAGGATGAAACTTTTTATTCATGATTGATAGCATATTACAACACAGGGTAGACAGCACAAACTAGAGAGTATTGGCACTAGATTACAGGATGTGTATGTGTTAGAGCTACCACTTGTACACTGATGCAGGTACAGCTGTCCCAGCAGCAGTCAGGGACAAAACAACATCAAAATGTTCACCTACATTTGTATATGTGCTTTGCCTCAACCTAAATGATATTCAAATATGTTGATACTTGTGGGATATGTTATAATGTCTAGTACATGTATGAAAGATGAAGTAGATTTGATATGTATTATGCAAAGACCACTAATACATGATGACTGCTAAATAAAAAAACAAAATAAAAATATCAAAGAATATGAGATATGTTCCGTGATTCTGTACCTATACCTCTCCAATAGAGCACCACAAGTCTGTGGCTATACAGTTGGACTTTCCATTGCTTACTAAGTACTTCTGGTGGACTTGCAAACAAAAACAAACAAACAAAATACCCCAAAAACTGTCTATATTTTCTAAAAGTCATTTGTGTTGAGGATGAATACAGGAATAGATCAATTGTGAATGGGACCATATAAATCCATTCAAAACCATTTGCACGCTATGTAATTTGTAAGAAAAAGGTTTCCAAAAGATAAAGTGCAACAAAATATCTTTGGTGTAACTCTAGGGAAATAAAAAGATTGATATAAAACACATAACAAAATACAAAACCTGATACATTTAAACATGAAACAACTAACTGGACTTCAGCAATAAATACTCTACCTGAACACCAGTGTCAAGAGAAATGACATGGCCCAGTGGTAAACTAAATCTGAAACATCAGATTAAAGCTGTCTACAGCTCTAGACAGTGCCAACATCCCTGCTAACTCATAAATTATTTGCCTTATTATCATAGAAAATGGAAAATGAACTATGCCAACAATTTAACATCATAAACTACATATACTTTATTATTTCCACAAAGTTCGACATGCCTGGATTCACAACATTTGATGTCAATTAAAATAACTAATCAATAAAGAAAACTAAACTTGTAATGCTCTTGGAAAAAGTTAAAGCCCCTTTCAGAACTAACTGTTAGACAAAAATCCACAATAATAGATGGCAAACAATGTGCTAAAACAAAAGCCCCCTTGACACTACAGACCAGACACAAACATTTCCTATAAGCAATACCAACTGGCAATGCTCTTGTTCAAGTGCAGAAAATAAACTTATATGAAAAGAAATATAAGGGAAACATAAAATAATATCAGTCTTCCACTGCACAGATTACTGCACATAATGAGGTCACATATATTGGTGTAAATATGCTCACGAAATACTGAAACAATAATAAGTGATGATATCAGAAGAAATAAAACAACTATTCTAGAAAATACTTCAGTGAAACAAAACAATATCAATTCAACGCATTGCATCAGCATGAAGTAATAGAGTCCTTGTACAATAATTTGCTGAAAACATATTCAACCTGGTGTGAGATTACAAAAAGTATTGAGACCCCCCAGAGGGGTGTCACGATCTGGGCACACACAGCTCCAACACTGAGGCTTGTAATAGAGACAAGAGACTTATATTGATACGAGGTACTCAACAAGTTCAAATCATTACCAGTGTGCTACAAGAAACTCAATTCATGTTAAACATAAACACTGTTTAACACTATAACACTTCCAGCTGTACACTATTACTTGCAAGCTCGGAGCTTTTGGTGGTCATATATGCATTCCAGGTGAAGGGACTTAAGTGAGTTCACAGTTACATCGAAATGTATTCAATTACTCTACAGTCTAGAGATAGAGAACAGAAAAATTCCACCAAGGCATTGATGCTCAACAGGTACATACGAGGCAAGGCTGAAACACTCTTAGTCTAACAATGGTAGACTATCTTGATGGGAGTTGGTTGCTATTATTTTTCAACACAATCCCTTCCCATCACAGTCCTCCCACCAATGCCAACAGTGCTGGTGTGCCTGGATCACATGATGTTCAAATAGTCATGCATTACAGCATTATATTCATGATATTCTTGTTTTAAAGTTATTTTCTTAAATTCAGAGGCATATTTCTAATTCACTGTAATAATGTTCAACTAAGCATTAAAGTCTCTTCCTCCTTATTGGTCCTGTTATCAGTGACATACAAGTCACAACAATAACACAAGCCATAACATTAGTTCTTCCTATAAATGCTTGAATTGGGAAATGTATAATTCCAATTTGGGATTTTTTTACTGATATTTGCTGCAGACTTAGGGCCAAATATTGGCAGGTCGAGATAAGTTCCTGTGAACCTGAACCTCTTTTGAATCAGAAGTCAGAAGCCATGTAATCTAGCATGCTGAAACCTTTGTTACGCTCAGTTCATTCTTCAGAATTGCAACCCTCTCAAGGAGGATGCTGTATTGAATATGCGGTCTGTGATGAGCCATTGATAATCCATAATTGAATCAGGTATTTTATCAACTTTTTCCTCAGTTGTGACTTTGATCATCATTGAGGTATCTCTTCCCCTCTTGAACAATGCTGCCCAGCTCTTAACAGAGGCAAAAGAAGGAGCACTATGCCATAAAGTTATCCACATGGATGGCTGTTGCAGTTAGCCTTTTCAGTTGGAGATACTTGAAAACAGCACAGTTGCCAATATTGTACATTTTCATCAATAGAGAATACCTAGTCACTTTGATGCCTGCAGAAACATGCTGCCTGGTTGTGTATTTGGTTCAAATTCAGCCTGTAAGCATGGGAAGTAATGCACATAATACTTGCAAACTGTGTATCATTGGTCCTTCAGTTTGGTGCAGAATGTTTCAGTCACCCCTCGTACTGTAGTGAGATGAATGTAACATGTGGTCTGTTCGATGAGAGGACGGTATGATACCATGCAACAATAAACTTGAAATCTTAAAAATGGTGATTATTCAGTTTCTGAGAAATGATATTTTATTTTCACAACACTTTCAACAATAGCTGAATATTTAGGCAGATATGGTTTCTACAAGAAACACAACATCTCAGGTTGATCACTGAATCTTAACAAAAGAAACAGTGCCACAGCACTGTAGCTCACCTGAATATATAGTCAACAGTTTAAAATGTCAACAAAGCGAACCACTTAACAAACCTTTGTGTCCGTATTGATATTCAAATATATTCTGCATATACACTGAGGACTGAAATAAAACTATAATCCTAATGACTTGAAAAATAAATGGTTTCATTGTAAGGAGAAACTCACATGCTAAAGTTCAGTTTCCTCAGTCCAGCAACTCCGGAGAATTGGCGAATAATTTATTTTTAGAGAACATGAGAGCATGGTAAGTGATTGATAGGAACAAATATGTGAATTTTCAGCTTCATTTGTCCAGCAGTTTCTGAGGGGAAGATGCCTATCAAGCTGTTTGATGCTAATGGATGTTGGACAAGTTGCTCACTTGACTTTCTGTAAGGTGAGCTAAAAGGTGCAACTATTAAATGAAATGCCATTATGAACTCTGATCCTCACTGTAGTGCAAGATATACTTCCACAAATAAGCTCTCTGACCCTTCAGGCTTCTGAGAAGATTATTCTCAAACATATCCTGAATTGAAGAATATTTTCCAAATTTGAAAATAAATTAATTAATTTTTTAGTTACATACCATAACATAGTTCAACTCACATTAGGATTCTGTAGATTTTCAGTAAGTTTTAAGAATATAAATGTTAAAAATGAGTTCTGAGAAGATCCGTAAAGATTTCAAAGTCAAAGTTTGTCTATTGTGCTGGCTTGGTTGAGTGAATGAGTTAAGAGTCCACACTAGCAATACATGTATTACAGTCACATGGAGATGAGTAATGACATTGTGCTGCTGTTCCCCTTCAGAGAGCAAGGAACATATATACACAGAGATACATCACATGAAGGCTAATGTCAACATAAAACATACAATCGGTACAAAATAACATCAATATAATATGAAACTACATATAAAACTGATGAGAGTGTGAAACATACATGTCAAAGTTATTGCCCTTGTCAGCCCAGGGCTCATCTGCAGACACACAGTACAGTGTTTTTCACTGATTCATTTCTTGACCTGAAACATTCTATAAAGATATCAAATTTTTTTATCAACAAAGGCTGATCTATGTATAATCATTAGCACAAGGACTATCAATTATTTACTGGAATATCTACCATCTTCAGTTCTACATGACTGTGATACCACTGAAGCCTCACAGAATAGTCTCCCTTTGACTAAGCATAACGTGCAGCCAAGTTGACAAGTGCACTTGGACCTACACCTGCACTCTGTACAGCAGATCAAGGACAAGGCAGCACAAAAGTGTCAACACAACTGTATTCCTTGTTTTGACATTTTCCTGATAAGGAATGTAAAGCATCAGGTTTTCCAAGGCATCTTGCTAGACGACAACCTGTCAGCTGACGAGCACAAGAAGCTGGTGCAGCACTGGTGCAGTATCCAGACCATTGTCTACAGAGGCCTCTAAACCCATCTTGTGGTCCTTGAGTCCACAATGTAGGACTTGACTTCATAATGTAACACTGTCCAATGATTGACCCGAGGGTTACAGCCACTGTACACTTTCTCTAACAGGTATCCACGTACCTTCCACAGACCAAAACATTATTCAGGAATATAGCATCCTACATGATCGTAATTAGTGTGAAATTTAGAAAAGGAAATAGACACACAAAAATTCCAAGATATTTTGAAGTGATGGTTAACTCGGTATTTAAACGAATGTTATGATGTTGAGCGTGCAAGTGGAGGTGATGTGACCTATACCTACAAATGTTCCTCCTATACGTTCCACTCTCACAAACAACTGACTTTACCTTCAGTAAAAGTTCTAGCAATTTGCAGAAAATATCATTCCTCCAGCAGGGCTCACACTGGTGTTGACTTGTAAAGCCCATTGCTATCCCGGCGACAGCACAGGGCCACTGTGATGGCAATCAGTCCAAAGAGGAGAATGATACCTGCAATAGCACCAACAATAGTGTATATAGTCCACAGTCCGATGACTTCATCCTGGGGCTGATTCATCCCTCTTGATGTTTTGTTTCCTGCTTTGCTGTCTGCATTGCTGTCTTCGGCTCTCAGTTCAGGATCATGCTCGGTGGCCTGACGCGGGTTTCCATTGTAGGTATAGCTGTTGTCCATATCCATATCTCGTGTTGGAATTGCATACATAATTTCAGTAGTTGTGGTCTCCATGTTTCTGTTCCGGTTTTTATTTTTTTTTCTATCCTTATTGCGACGTCGACCATTTTTACGATTTTTGGGTTTTCTTGTTGAGCGAGGTTCCTTTGTCCATGGAAGCATTGGAGGATATGTAGTTCTTGATCTCTCTACATAAACTGGACGATCCGTCCAAATGAATGATCTGAACGTGGTGGTCACAGAGGTAGTAGATGGTGTAGTAGTTGTTGTAGTTGTGGTTGTTGTACTGGGGGTTGTAGTAGTTGTAGTTGTGGTAGTAGTTGTAGTTGGCTCCAAAGATACTGGAAAAATGTAATCAGAAATAATGATAATTGTACAAATATAGCAGAAGCCTTTGCTAACATCGAGTGCTCAGCTCTTGGTTAATACTGAAAACCTATATTCTTTCTTACAGGATTTGCAAAACAAGCCCAAATCAATCTACACATTAGTCTAATAAAATAAATCTAAAGATCGACTATCATTTCCTTCATGATTCTTCAAAGAAAGCGTTAAAGATATTATATACAATATTCTACATAATAAGTGCCAACATCGATATGTGTTAATATACCGGTACTGGCAAGTGAACAATCCCAATAAGCGCCCTTTCCGATTGATCAATGTACACAAAAGTTATTATTTGTGTATAATACGCACCCTATTTCTAATTTTTAGAGCGCCAGGGAAGGGAAGTTATTGTTCACATTCGGGATGTTTTTGGCCACAAAAACAGAAGTCAAGCACACTTTGATGGATTTTTCGTATGATTTGAATCGGAACTGTTCACTTTGAGTGATCTGGGCATGCAGTTGTGTATGTTCATCCATGAACACACATTTCGGAAGCAATGTAACAAAATACGCTTCAAATGGGGACACTGATGGCACCACCAGAGCAGCCAATGTCTAGATATGTTTCCAGACAGTCTAAACTGACTTCATTTCACCATGCTTAACCTATCACTTTAAATCAAATTGAAAGTCACGAAAGTGGGGACCATCGATAGAAGATCTATCAGAAGTCGTACATTGCATATAGATATGGCTCGATTATATAATGTTTGTAGTAGCTCTATGCATAACTAATTTAGAATGCAAAGCGAATTTGATGTGTGTGACGATCTTGTTTGGTTCATTAAAGAGTGTGCAAATGTCTCTCGCTTTCATGAGATTCCTTCAGTTCTCCCTTGTAGTTGTAAAAGTGAATGACGTCTTGTGAGTTTTTTATGAATGAAAAATGTAGTTCCGATGTGACAGAGGTCATGGTTATCCAATCAAAACGAATAAAACAAGGTCAACTTTGTATGACACACATGTGACGCATGGATTAAGTATCTTAACACCTGTATCTTCACCACATGGGTAATAAAACATAATATCGTGGAGTAATGGATATTTTAACACAATGGAAATTGAAAGCATGGCTCTCATTGGTCAATATAGTCTCACTGTAGAATGTTTCATGTCACTGATGTATCAACAATTTGCTTGACATGCTATTTTATGCAAGTAAATAATTCTTGAAATCGTAATTTGGCGTGACAGCATAATTTTAGTCTCAAAGTTGTAACTATTAGGTATGCCAAAATCGTAATGGTTGTCATCTCCGGAAGCACCACCATAGCCACTTTTTCCTGCATGCCCCGAAACTTTCCCTTTAGAAACATGAATCCAAATCAGTGACCAAATCAGGTGACAGCTGACGTCAACAATATCTACCAATATCTATCAATACCAGTAAAATCCTAGATATGTTTTATATTTGTGTACTTATCCTGCATTACTCCTTAAAGGATCTAGAGTGAGAAAGAGCTGTGTGAATTATAAAATCTAGAACTGATGTACTGAGCTTAATGCATGCAGCATGTAGCCTTCAAGTCAGAGGTGACACACATTGGAGCGGTCGAAAGGCTGGCTCTGGATATGTGGAGGGGTCAATGGCGTCTTGCAGTGGTGACCTGCTGGGCTACCACCAAAGGGCCAAATCTGTGTATGTCTTCCACATCTTCTAAGGCGACATCTCGCAGATAGTGACTGGCGAAGACAGTGTCTGAACGCCAGAAACAGCCTTCCATAATGGCGTGCAGTTGCTGTGGAGCACAATGGTCAGGTCACGTGCAGGTTGCTGGCTTTTGGAGGATCCAGTCCCATGACCTTGTAAGGCCTGGAGAATGATGGCTCGAAGCCAAAGGGCAATGGTATTGCTGCTGACTTCCACCTGCAATGTTGCTGATACCAGAATGAAGAGGCGGCTGCATTGTCTGCAACGATTCTCTTAAAACGAATGAAACACCACAACGCTCTCACCTGATACAGTAGAAATTTCTGCTCATCCTCAGCTCCCACTAACGAGAGGGGCAGGATGAGGGAGGGCCTGTCGGGCTGCCCTGGGAGCTGGTTCTTAGCGATAAAGGCCCAGCACAGTCCAAGGTGAACCGCTCTGTGTGCTCCTTGCCCAAACCTGACATACATCACATCCAGTGAGTGGATCTCGCTGACATACTCCGCTATGGCGAGAGCCAGGAAGAAGAAAATCTTCTTATTTAGGTTGTAGAATAATGCTGAATGAAGTGGTTCAAAGGATGCGCCTCTCAGGTAGGTAAGGACTATGTTCAGATCCCAAGATGGGGGTCTATACTTAGCTTTCTGGTCTTCCGTCACTGCAAAGACAGAGTTGAGGGCCACAGGGTATGTTGTGATAGTACTTCCCTTCAGGCAATGTTTGTGATGCAGGAAGAGAAGGAACTTGGCCAGGAATGGTGGAGAAGTAGAGGTGGGCTCCTGGTGTTTTTCTTCGCAGAAAATTCCAAAGGAACGCCACTTGTCTTCGTATAGGCTTCTGGTAGACAGTTGATGTGCCAATGTAATGGCTCTCGCCGATCTAGTAAGTAGTCCTTGGCCAGACCACAGTGAGGATGTCCAAGGCGATGGCATCTACCTAAGACATTCGACTCTGTCGTCCACCAGCTGAAATGACCCCTGAGAAGGGGATATCGCAACATATAGGCCATGTAATGCGCCAAGAGCTGTTGGATCGAATGAAAGTAAGTCTCTGCCCGTGTCCTCCCATGACGATATGTGGAAAAGTGTGTTCGTCAGCGAACCAATGCCAAATCCCATGTAAACAAAAGAGCGAGGGCATCTGCCAGCATGTCCTCCATGGTGTCAGGTGGAATGGAGGTAGGATTCGACCTTATAGTGTCCTTCTTTGTCAATGACCAGCCCCGGAGAAGAAGCCACGGCCTTCAGTCAGTTGGCGATTAAGAGACCAAGGTGGGAGTCCACGTCAGACACTGAAACCTCGTAAGCTGGAATGAAGGAGCCTTCCGATGAGTCAGACCTAGAGCCACTAGACCGTCGAACTGGGGGGCGGCTCTGAGAGCAGCGGCTAGAGATGGATGCTGCCACTGGGCCATGAGGAAGCAGGGCAACCTGGGGAGGCGGCTCTAGAGGTGCTGGTATGGATGCTAGATAGGTCGCCTGGAAAGATGCTGAAAGAGCTGAAACTGTGGCCGAAGCCAAAGGAGGCATCTGTTCCATGGTTACATGGGAGCTGTGTGATAGGTTTGGCCTCTCAGCTAGTTGAAACAACTTCTTCAGCAAGACTTCACACAGCTCTTTCTCACTGTCAAGAACAAGCATAGACGCTTTAAGGAGTAATGCAGGATAAGTTAAAAATTTTACAACTGAGTCCTGTACCTCCAGCTATCATAAAATACATACAGCCAGATTAATGACGTCCCATTCGGTTTAGAAAATCAAATGCCCAATACAACACAAGGCAACTTTTATTGATATTACTTCTGGTTTGGGAAACTCAAAAATAGGTGTCATGTATAAATCTAAGAATACTACCTTTATTACATCATAGCCCTAATTCCACCAATTTGAATAACTTCACACTAAGAAATCCCAAGATTGTTAACAGACGTCTACTTCACTGTCAGCCATCCCAACCAGTTGTTAGGTAAACTGTACCTTGTGCAAATGACAAAAAAACACCATGACATCCACCACTGACAACATCGGAAGGGTTGATGGATGGCTTTTCATGTAACTCTCCTCCAGCGGTCTCAGAATACCACGACTTAACTGAAACCTGGCCTCAATGTACAAGATTGACTCAGAGTTGGCTGGATGAGCAAGAAAACCCAGGTAGGACAGCAGGTGTATCAAGAAGACTGAATATGTTGGAGCTGCTACTTGTTGAGATTGGTTGTTATCCGAGTGAAAAACGATTGGGCTGTCGATATGCCAAATGGGAGCATGAGAAATTTGTATCTCTTCCCATTTGACATAGAAATGTGATACCGTAGCCAATCAGGCTGTATTATAGAGATGTGCATCCTGTTAATCTAAGCTGACTGACTGATCCTGAGAGCGGTCCTGAGCTTTCCATCAGAATTTGGGTGAACATACTAGAAAGACTTTGATGAGGACCTTCAGTTCGATGATCATATGCATCTGATGTTTTCTTTGTCACCACTAAGAATAACAGAGAATAAGAACCTTCGCCGATATCCAAGCTGGCAAGTGCAAGAATTGCTCCCTTCTGAAGTAATGTCTGAATGGCCAAGTTCTCAGCCACCAACTTGGTCCCTTCCACATGGAAACAACGACCAGTGGGATAGAAGTGCCAGATGCTGGTGAAAGTGCAACTTTTACATGTTCTAGCTGAAAACAGCAGATCATTGTGCACTGGGAACATGACAATCATGTGGGTGTGAGGGATTGTTTTTGATGTGTCTGGGATAAATGCCTTCGTATTATTAAACTTCCCTGACCCCTGGCTACTATAGCAATCTGAGTAGGGGAGAGGGGCATGGTCAGGCTCAGAAAACAGTGAAAAAGTAATGTAATTCATTTTGTTAGAAATATGCAGTATTGTTGTGAAATGTGATACACATATTTACACATCATATATCATATAGTGACCAAAGTATCATGACGCAGCGATATATCAGTAAATAGTTGCAGTCCTAATTGCCTAGTAACTATTATTAAAAAAATCTTAGTTTGTTTGAGTAATGGTTTTAATAAGCATCCCCTTTGTCAATTTTCTAAGCGCCTACTAAGCTCTTATTGTGGGGAAGATGGTAGTTGTAGTTATCATCTGGGAAAAGAGCCTCAAGTCAATTTTAGGATGTGAGCAGATTTGCATAGATGCTACCTTTGACCTAGTTATCACTGACTGTTATCAAACTTGAGCTATTTTGTAAAGTAAATTTTCGAGTATGAAATGAAGTCATTATCTGTAATAGAACACCAATATGTGACCTCTGACCGCCTAAACACTCATAAAGTAACTTCACTTTATTTTTTATTTCTGACTTTGATGATCATGATGATATTGTCAGTATGACCATTTAAGCTGTTTATTATGAAACTTGTCTTGTCTTTCAACAGGGACTATCCTTGAAGCACTGATTGTGCAAAAAACAAAATTGCATAACAGGATAGACGGGAAAGATGATGGATAACTGTACAAGCTCTACTGATCAGTAATCTGTCAGGTTAACAAGACTACACGACGTTGACTTACTGGATGGACTGTTCCCTAAAGCGACAACAGTCAGCCAGGCACTGTTGTACTCGATGCCCCACAAGTTGCCAGCTAGGCACACATATTTCCCAGTATCCTTATGTGTGACATTAGTTAACACAAGCACTTCCTGGTCGGGTCCAACATTCTTGAGGAACTACAACAAACAATACAATGTCTCATTCAGGGCTTGCACATAATACTCATGAGAAACACTTGCATGAATATATACCTGTAAAAGAATAGCAAATGCATGAAGCAGCACTTAAAATTGATGTTGGTGTGTAGTAACCTGGTGTGAGGGGGGTGTAATAACCTGGTGTAATGTTGGTGTGTAGTAACCTGGTGTAATGTTGGTATGTAGTAACCTGGTTTGATGTTGGTATGTAGTAACCTGGTGTAATGTTGGTGTGTAGTAACCTGGTGTAATGTTGGTGCGTAGTAACCTGGTGTAATGTTGGTATGTAGTAACCTGGTTTGATGTTGGTATGTAGTAACCTGGTTTGATGTTGGTATGTAGTAACCTGGTTTGATGTTGGTATGTAGTAACCTGGTGAGGTGAGGTGAAATTGGGTTTTAACGCTGCGTCCAAGATTATTGCACTTATATAGCAACGTGCTTGCGTGCAGCTGCTTGTACTAGTCCGGACTGATGCTGATTTATAGTGCTAGCTCACTGAGATACCATGCCGCTGTTTAACCCCACTCAGACACAGTATACTGACTCCGAGCAGACTAGTCCTTGTCTTAGACCCTTAATGCCGAGCGCCAGACAGGGTAACAAAAAGTACCATCTTGGCATGTAGTAACCTGGTGTGATGTAGGTGTATAGCAACCTTGTGTGATGTTGGTGTGTAGGAACCTGGTGTGATGTTGGTTTGTAGTAACCTGGTGTGATGTTGGTTTGTAGTAACCTGGTGTGATGTTGTCATGTAGTAGCCTGGTGTGATGTTGTGCAGTAAGTGGGTGTGATGTTGGTGTGTAGTAACCTGGTGTGATGTTTGCATGTAGTAACCTGGTGTAATGTTGGCATGTAGTAACCTGGTGTGATGTAGGTGTATAGCAACCTTGTGCGATGTTGGTGTGTAGTAAGTGGGTGTGATGTTGGGGTGTAGTGACCTGGTGTGATGTTGGTGTGTAGTAACCTGGTGTGATGTTGGTGTGTAGTAAGTAGGTGTGATGTTGGTGTGTAGTAAGTAGGTGTGATGTTGGTGTGTAGTAAGTGGGTGTGATGTTGGTGTGTAGTAAGTGGGCGTGATGTTGGTATGTAGTCAGGGGGTGTGATGTTGGTGTGTAGTAAGTGGGTCTGATGTTGGTGTGTAGTAACCTGGTGTATTGTTGGTGTGTAGTAAACTGGTGTGATGTTGGAGTGTAGTAAGTGGGTCTGATGTTGGTGTTTAGTAACCTGGTGTATTGTTGGTGTGCAGTAAGTGGGTGTGAAGTTGGTGTGCAGTAAGTGGGTGTGATGTTGGTGTGGAATAACCTTGTGTGATGTTGGTGTGCAGTAAGTGGGTGTGATGTTGGTGTGCAGTAACCTGGTTTGATGTTGGTGTGTAGTAAGTGGGTGTGATGTTGATGTGTAGTAACCTGGTGTGATGTTAGTGTGTAGTAAGTGGGTGTGATGTTGGAGTGTAGTAACCTGGTTTGATGTTGGCATGTAGTAACCTGGTGTGATGTTGGCATGTAGTAACCTGGTGTGATGTTGTGCAGTAAGTGGGTGGGATGTTGGTGTGTAGTAACCTGGTTTGATGTTGGTGTGTAGTAACCTGGTGTGATGTTGGTGTGCAGTAAGTGGGTGTGATGTTGATGTGTAGTAACCTGGTGTGATGTTAGTGTGTAGTAAGTGGGTGTGATGTTGGAGTGTAGTAACCTGGTTTGATGTTGGCATGTAGTAACCTGGTGTGATGTTGGCATGTAGTAACCTGGTGTGATGTTGTGCAGTAAGTGGGTGGGATGTTGGTGTGTAGTAACCTGGTTTGATGTTGGTGTGTAGTAACCTGGTGTGATGTTGGTGTGCAGTAAGTGGGTGTGAAGTTGGTGTGTAGTAAGTGGATGTGATGTTGGTGTGGAATAACCTGGTGTGATGTTGGTGTGCAGTAAGTGGGTGTGATGTTGGTGTGCAGTAACCTGGTTTGATGTTGGTGTGTAGTAAGTGGGTGTGATGTTGGTGTGTAGTAAGTGGGTGTGATGTTGGTGTGTAGTAACCTGGTGTGATGTTGGTGTGTAGTAACCTGGTGTGATGTTGATGTGTAGTAACCTGGTTCGATGTTGGTGTGTAGTAACCTGGTTCGATGTTGGCAAGTAGTAACCTGGTGTGATGTTGTGCAGTAAGTGGGTGTGATGTTGGTGTGTAGTAACCTGGTGTGATGTTGGTGTGTAGTAAACTTGTTTGATGTTGGCATGTAGTAGCCTGGTGTGATGTTGTGCAGTAAGTGGGTGTGATGTTGGTGTGTAGTAACCTAGTGTGATGTTAACATGTAGTAACCTGGTGTAATGTTGGCATGTAGTAACCTGGTGTGATGTAGGTGTATAGCAACCTTGTGTGATGTTGGTGTGTAGGAACCTGGTGTGATGTTGGTTTGTAGTAACCTGGTGTGACGTTGTCATGTAGTAACCTGGTGTGATGTTGTGCAGTAACCTGGTGTGATGTTGGTGTGTAGTAACCTGGTGTGATGTTGGCATGTAGTAACCTGGTGTAATGTTGGCATGTAGTAACCTGGTGTGATGTAGGTGTATAGCAACCTTGTGTGATGTTGGTGTGTGGTAAGTGGGTGTGATGTTGCGGTGTAGTGACCTGGTGTGATGTTGGTGTGTAGTAACCTGGTGTGATGTTGGTGTGTAGTAAGTGGGTGTGATGTTGGTGTGTTGTAAGTGGGTGTGATGTTGGTGTGTAGTAAGTGGGTGTGATGTTGGTGTGTAGTAAGTGGGTCTGATGTTGGTGTTTAGTAACCTGGTGTATTGTTGGTGTGTAGTAACTTGGTGTGATGTTGGTGTGTAGTAAGTGGGTGTGATGTTGGTGTGTTGTAAGTGGGTGTGATGTTGGTGTGTAGTAAGTGGGTGTGATGTTGGTGTTTAGTAACCTGGTGTGATGTTGGTGTGTAGTAACTTGGTGTGATGTTGGTGTGTAGTAAGTGGGTGTGATGTTGGTGTGTTGTAAGTGGGTGTGATGTTGGTGTGTAGTAAGTGGGTGTGATGTTGGTGTGTAGTAAGTGGGTGTGATGTTGGTGTGTTGTTAGTGGGTGTGATGTTGGTGTGTAGTAAGTGGGTGTGATGTTGGTGTGTAGTAAGTGGGCGTGATGTTGGTATGTAGTGAGTGGGTGTGATGTTGGTGTGTAGTAAGTGGGTCTGATGTTGGTGTTTAGTAACCTGGTGTATTGTTGGTGTGTAGTAAACTGGTGTGATGTTGGTATGCAGTAAGTGGGTGTGATGTTGGTGTGCAGTAATTGGGTGTGATCTTGGCATGTAGTAACCTGGTGTGATGTTGTGCAGTAAGTGGGTGTGATGTTGGTGTGCAGTAGGTGGGTGTGATGTTGGTGTGCAGTAAGTGGGTCTGATGTTGGTGTTTAGTAACCTGGTGTATTGTTGGTGTGTAGTAAACTGGTGTGATGTTGGTGTGCAGTAAGTGGGTGTGATGTTGGTGTGCAGTAAGTGGGTGTGATCTTGGCATGTAGTAACCTGGTGTGATGTTGTGCAGTAAGTGGGTGTGATGTTGGTGTGCAGTAGGTGGGTGTGATGTTGGTGTGCAGTAAGTGGGTGTGATGTTGGTGTGCAGTAGGCAGGTGTGATGTTGCTGTGAAGTAGGCAGGTGTGATGTTGGAGTGCAGTAGGCAGGTGTGATATTGGTGTAAGCTGTCATGTCAACAGTAATCAGTTATGATGTACCTCTGGGTTCTTGTTGTTCATCTCTGTCGAGTCCGACTCCTCATTGCGTTTTAGCCAGTTGATGGTGGCAGCAGGGTCATTGAGGACCCGGCATCGGAACTTGACTGTCTCCCCTTCCAGCACTGTCAGGTTCATAGGGCCCTCAACTATCAGGCGGATCTTCACTGCAGAGACAACATCAGGACATTACAATTGACCTTTATACAGCACACAAGAGATGCCTAGTCATGTATAAATACTTGCAAATACAACTTTGTTATCAAGAAAATGGTTTTATATTATGCAGCCTTGACGAATGTGAGAAAGATTAAACAAAACATTTACAACAGTATATAATTGTTTTATATATTAAAGAAATAAACAATGAGTGGGGGGTGTTTATCATACAATAAAACATTGCAGGGAAAATAAACAATGAGGGGTGCAGTGTGTTATTGTACGATAAACAACGACCAAGAGTCGTTTATTTCTTACATGAGATATCAACATTAAAAACAGTCTTTAATAGTATAGGTGTGGTAAATTTGGCCTTTCCTGCATATGCCTGACAATTTTCTCATCGATTATCTGTAGCCTGCAACCTCGGGGTATCGCGGTACTTGTCATGTACGCTAAATGGAACAAAATGCACTCACTAACCGTTATGATTATTCGTGTTCTCTATATCAGATGTCATTTATTTGATCTAACAATGCATATTTTACTGATAAAAATTCATTATTTACATTAGTAGCTCCGAGTAAAAGCCGGGCCTCCCGCTCAATTTGACAAGGGAGAGAACTCCATCGTATCGCGGTACAGAGAAAAGTTGTGTATGGAGGTCCGAATTGGACAAAAAGAGGACATAATTCTACCAACCACTTGGTATGATCATGCAGGACATCAGTGATTTGTCCAGACAAGTGCAAAGACAGCACAAGTAAAATTCTAAATGTGTTATCAGCAATAGGTATTCAATGCATATTTACTGAAAAGTAAGAGAAAAATATTTTTATAAGTCAACATCAAAATACCAGAAATGATATTTTAAGATTGTTTAAAAAAAAATTGGATGACAATAATTTGTCACAAAATGGAAAAATGTTAAAGGCCAACAATAAATATATAAAAAGCACTCCTAGTATGCCCAAAGTATGTATTTATCTTTTGGTTACTAGTGAAGAACGTATGTCTAAGTTTGGCATTATGGCCCTTATGATCTCCCAATAGATTCTGGGCACAGAGCGGGAAAAAATGTGCGGACTACGTAACTTCTGTTACCTCATTTGTCGCCATGAATATGCAGATGATCTAGTTCAGGTTGATAGAGAAAGTTTACTTGGGGAACTGCGGGTTACATCGTTGGCCATTGATAGATGGGGGTAAGGCAATATTACAACAGATGCCAGAAATATGTATCAACGGATTAATAACGCCTAACTAACAGCAGACGGAACATTCCGAGGAAATTGAAATTGTTTACGAAGTGAGCACTTCCTGGTTACTGATTAGCATTAATAGACAGCCGCTAAAAGGCGTGTCCCGCGTGAACTATCGGAAATCACAAATGCCGCGATACGATGAATGCCGCGGTACCATGGGGTCCGAGTATACCTTTTCTGCCATTACCAATTGTCATGTCTCTCCCACTTTTGGAAGCAATCGTTTGGCCTTTGCGTTTTTCAGCTACATCTATGAGGAACAGCTCACTAGACACGTTCCTATAAAACATTACGTTGTCCAATTTACTACATAATGAAGTTGCAAGCCTGGTTCGGATCTCTGGAAATGACTTCATGATAGAAAAATGTTTTATCGTGATATAAACCACACTGATGTAAACCAGCGATTGACATCATGAGAATCAGTCCACACAAATGGGATACGATGACATGCATCAAGCAAGTCAGCAAGCCATAGACAGCTGTAGGACAGGCACACATGATTGACTGTCACAGAGAGTCACTAGGCAGGCCAACATGATTGACTGTCACAGAGGGTCACTAGGCAGGCCAACATGGTAGACAGACATAGAGAGTCATTAGGCAGGTCAACATGATAGACTGACACAGAGCGTGACTAGGCAGGCCAACATAATAGACTGACACAGACAGTCACTAGGCAGGCCAACATGGTAGACAGTCACCGACAGTCACTAGGCAGGCCAACATGATAGATTGACACAGAGAGTGACTAGGCAGGCCAACATAATAGACTGACACAGACAGTCACTAGGCAGGCCAACATGATTGACTGACACAGAGAGTCACTAGGCAGGCCAACATGGTAGACTGACACAGACAGTCACTAGGCAGGCCAACATGGTACACTGACACAGATAGTCAGTAGGCAGGCCAACATGGTAGACTGACACAGAGAGTCAGTAGGCAGGCCAACATGGTAGACTGACACAGAGAATCAGTAGGCAGGCCAACATGGTAGACTGACACAGACAGTCACTAGGCAGGCCAACATGGTACACTGACACAGATAGTCAGTAGGCAGGCCAACATGATAGACTGACACAGAGAGTGACTAGGCAGGCCAACATAATAGACTGACACAGACAGTCACTAGGCAGGCCAACATGGTAGACAGTCACCGACAGTCACTAGGCAGGCCAACATGATAGATTGACACAGAGAGTGACTAGGCAGGCCAACATAATAGACTGACACAGACAGTCACTAGGCAGGCCAACATGGTAGACAGTCACCGACAGTCACTAGGCAGGCCAACATGATAGATTGACACAGAGAGTGACTAGGCAGGCCAACATAACAGACTGACACAGACAGTCACTAGGCAGGCCAACATGGTAGACTGACACAGAGAGTCAGTAGGCAGGCCAACATGGTAGACTGACACAGATAGTCAGTAGGCAGGCCAACATGGTAGACTGACACAGAGAGTCAGTAGGCAGGCCAACATGGTAGACTGACACAGAGAATCAGTAGGCAGGCCAACATGGTAGACTGACACAGACAGTCACTAGGCAGGCCAACATGGTACATTGACACAGATAGTCAGTAGGCAGGCCAACATGATAGACTGACACAGAGAGTGACTAGGCAGGCCAACATAATAGACTGACACAGACAGTCACTAGGCAGGCCAACATGGTAGACAGTCACCGACAGTCACTAGGCAGGCCAACATGATAGATTGACACAGAGAGTGACTAGGCAGGCCAACATAATAGACTGACACAGACAGTCACTAGGCAGGCCAACATGATAGACTGACACAGAGTCACTAGGCAGGCCAACATGAGACTAATACAGATAGTCACTAGGCAGGCCAACATGGTAGACTGACACGGAGAGTCAGTAGGCAGGCCAACATGATAGACTGACACAGAGAGTGACTAGGCAGGCCAACATAATAGACTGACACAGACAGTCACTAGGCAGGCCAACATGGTAGACAGTCACCGACAGTCACTAGGCAGGCCAACATGATAGATTGACACAGAGAGTGACTAGGCAGGCCAACATAATAGACTGACACAGACAGTCACTAGGCAGGCCAACATGATAGACTGACACAGAGTCACTAGGCAGGCCAACATGAGACTAATACAGATAGTCACTAGGCAGGCCAACATGGTAGACTGACACGGAGAGTCACTAGGCAGGCCAACATGGTAGACAGACATAGAGAGTCATTAGGCAGGCCAACATGGTAGACTAATACAGATAGTCAGTAGGCAGGCCAACATGGTAGACTGACACGGAGAGTCACTAGGCAGGCCAACATGATAGACTGACACAGAGTCACTAGGCAGGTCAACATAATAGACTGACACAGATAGTCACTAGGCAGGCCAACATGGTACACTGACACGAGAGTCACTAGGCAGGCCAACATGGTAGACAGACATAGAGAGTCATTAGGCAGGCCAACATGGTAGACTAATACAGATAGTCACTAGGCAGGCCAACATGGTAGACTGACACGGAGAGTCACTAGGCACGCCAACATGATAGACTGACACAGAGTCACTAGGCAGGCCAACATAATAGACTGACACAGACAGTCACTAGGCAGGCCAACATGATTGACTGACACAGAGAGTCACTAGGCAGGCCAACATGGTAGACAGTCACCGACAGTCACTAGGCAGGCCAACATGGTACACTGACACAGATAGTCAGTAGGCAGGCCAACATGGTAGACTGACACAGAGAGTCAGTAGGCAGGCCAACATGGTAGATTGACACAGAGAGTGACTAGGCAGGCCAACATAATAGACTGACACAGACAGTCCAACATGATAGACTGCCACAGAGAGTCACTAGGCAGGCCAACATGATTGACTGACACAGAGAGTCACTAGGCAGGCCAACATGGTAGACAGTCACCGACAGTCACTAGGCAGGCCAACATGGTACACTGACACAGATAGTCAGTAGGCAGGCCAACATAATAGACTGACACAAACAGTCACTAGGCAGGCCAACATGATAGACTGACACAGAGTCACTAGGCAGGCCAACATGGTAGACTAATACAGATAGTCACTAGGCAGGCCAACATGGTAGACTGACACGGAGAGTCAGTAGGCAGGCCAACATGATAGATTGACACAGAGAGTGACTAGGCAGGCCAACATAATAGACTGACACAGACAGTCCAACATGATAGACTGCCACAGAGAGTCACTAGGCGGGCCAACATGATTGACGGACACAGAGAGTCACTAGGCAGGCCAACATGGTAGACAGTCACCGACAGTCACTAGGCAGGCCAACATGATAGATTGACACAGAGAGTGACTAGGCAGGCCAACATAATAGACTGACACAGACAGTCACTAGGCAGGCCAACATGATTGACTGACACAGAGAGTCACTAGGCAGGCCAACATGGTAGACAGTCACCGACAGTCACTAGGCAGGCCAACATGGTACACTGACACAGATAGTCAGTAGGCAGGCCAACATAATAGACTGACACAGACAGTCACTAGGCAGGCCAACATGATAGACTGACACAGAGTCACTAGGCAGGCCAACATGGTAGACTAATACAGATAGTCACTAGGCAGGCCAACATGGTAGACTGACACGGAGAGTCACTAGGCAGGCCAACATGGTAGACAGACATAGAGAGTCATTAGGCAGGCCAATATGGTAGACTAATACAGATAGTCACTAGGCAGGCCAACATGGTAGACAGACAC